TTCCATTCTGGATCAGGAACGCAACATACGATCTGCCCACCACATCATCCTGTATACGTATACTCATAAGTGCACACTCACACACATAATCATACCCCTCTTGTCTTTCTACAATGACTTTGAAAAACTGCTAGAATGCTACACAGGTCAATTGCTGACTTGACCAGAAAGTGACATCTACATCAGAAACCTGATCAAAAGTAAAAATTAGTATTATGGCTAAATTATAGTTTATTATTCAGGAACTCCTTGATTGACTTACCAAAAAGGATAAAGAGATGCGTACTTTCGGTATTCTTATTCATTCATGATATACAGCCTCCATCAAAGGCTTATCAGTGGACAAAGAAAAGCCGGAAATTTAAAAAAAAAAAATAAATGTAAGGTCTGGCAACTTGAGGCTTTGAAAGTAGTTTGCAGATAACTCATATAGAAATCCTAGTTTTTTTCCCAATAGAATTACCAAGGTGTGATGCCAGTCATATCTGTGGAATACTGTTGAGATTTTTGGCTGCTTTAAAACAGCATTGTTAGTGTGCCCATGAATGCTAAAAGGGAAATAATTTGGTGAATTTTGTGATCATATTCTCCACAATACAAGAAAAGGAAGGGTAATCATGCAAAAGTCTTATGTCACTTCATGTTAACTGCACAAAAGGCCATAACTCAAATGCACAGATGTGCAAAACGACACACGAGTATTCATGTACGATTTTACTTTTCATTTATGTTTTCTAATGTAAGTGTTTATCAAATCTTTCATGTTCATATTTGCGAAGAAAAATAATACCACTCTTTTTCAGACCTAATTAGTCGTTGTGCCAACGATGGGGAGCTACATTTGACACTAAAACGTGAGGAATGAAAGGAGTAACTTTTGTCCTTGTTTAGAACATTCTGAGTGTTCAAGTTCCTAGATTTCATCAAGGAAGAAAATTTTGAAGGAAGAATAATGAATAGCCATAAATTGTTCATGTGGTTCCCCTCGTTTTCTTCAGCTATGAATTGGAGAATCAGCCATCAAACTAAAATTCTAAACTAATGTATGCCATTGGTGTTGTTTTTCCATATGAAATTCATCCTGTTATGTGATTGTCTGACAGTTACCCTAAAATAATCCAGGTAGCTTCTGATCTCACAAAAGAACACAAATTGAAACGGCGTAGCAGGAGCAAAATAATTGTATCTTGTTATGTGGACAATGTGTCCTCTCCAAAAGTAGATCTAAGCCATCTTGTGGCCCATATGCAATCTACTGGAGCAGATATGATCAAACTTGTTGCCAATGCAACTAATATTACAGAAATAACGAGGATTTTTCATTTGCTTTCACATTGCCAGGTACTTATGTCTGACTACTGGCTATATTGTTTTCCTTGTTCATCATGACAGACCTTGTGTTAAAAATACAAGATCTACCTGTGAAATGAATGGCAGGTAATAGATTTGAATGAAAGGCACAAGCTGACTCTAGGACACATACATGGCAAATAAGATGCGATATTGAGTATTTAATGTCAGCTGGCAAGATATACAAATGCATGATGAGATACCAATTCATTTTCTTCTAAGAGAATTTTGATGGAAAAGAATGTAAAATCAAATTACCTTTCCATGTATAAGAGAAAAAGGCAGATGTGCAGGAAGAAACTATAGTAACGACCTATTAAGTTCAGATGATTTGGAATGTATGGCCTGTCTAAAAGGGAAAAGAACACGGAAAAAATTTGGTTTAAAGGTACAATAACATTATTAATTGGTAAGTTGTAACTTAATTTGTAGCTGAAGCAATGTGACTTCAGAGTGTACAGAAGTAGGGGTGATATCAATCTTTCATTAAAATAGCTGTTCATAGTTTGTGCAGTTTGATGACTCATTTATTCTTGATTACCTACAGGTTCCGCTAATTGCATACTCCAATGGGGAAAGAGGTCTTATAAGCCAGTTATTGGGCCCAAAGTTTGGTGGCTTTTTAGTCTATGGATCTATTGAGGACAATTTAGTACCTGGTCTGCCTATTCTAGATAGCCTTAGAAAAGCTTATAATGTTGAGTGTATAGATGCGGATACAAAAGTTTTTGGGCTTATCTCAAAACCAGTAAGCCATAGCAAAGGTCCTATTTTGCATAATCCTACGTTCAAACATGTGGGCTACAATGGAATTTATGTTCCGATGCTTGTGGATGATCTCAAGGAGTTCTTTTGTGTCTATTCAAGTCCTGATTTCGCTGGTTTCAGGTATGTGCTAGTGATCTTAAAGTTCCATGAAAAAACAGAAAAAATCTATGCTTGTTTCTGAAAAAAAAAAAATTCATCGTTAAGTAATATGATGTCACTTGAATCGATATTTGGAATGAGTAGTGCTCTTTTCACAAAGTGTATTCTACATATGTAGTTTATATGCTTTTCTTGTCTTCATTAGTTGGGGTAACCACTTGCATTTTGTCTCTATCTATCTCTACGTCTCCCCCCACCCCCCACAAAAAACAAAACCTGTTTACTATCTCAGTATGCAAAGAAATACTTATTTACTCAATGTTACTCATGTTGGAACACAAGGGAGACAAAGGATTTCTTCCCCTCTCGGGGAGAAAAAGAGAGATGCATGATGCACCAAATGAAGCAGAATGAGTTTATTTTTTGTTTTTCTAAATGGGACAGTATTCGAAATATTATCTGGCTTTGCACATCTGGCCGTCACTTTTCAGTCATTGCTTGCAAATTCTGTGATCTAAGAAACAATCCACTCTTTATTCACTCACAAGGATGTCCTCTCTCTGTGATTTTCTTTTAATCTTAGCAAAACCAAGTGAAACCAGATGAAATCAATTTGCTTGTGTTCATCTTCCTACTTGAGTTTATGTAAGATAGATTTTTACATGGCAATCCTGTCATCCTTAAAATTAAATTATCCATTCATAAAATCTTTCTCTCTCTCTATGTCTCTCTCTCTCTCTCTCTCTCTCTCTCTCTCTACCTATTTTACTGTCTTTGGGGACTAACATGATTTCTTTGTTTCCTAAATACTTGAACTGTAGTGTAGGAATTCCATACAAGGAAGCAGCAATTGAATTTTGTGACGAAGTCCATCCACTTGCTCAGGTCTACCTGATATTTCATTTCCAATAGTAATTTGTTTTTTCCTGGAAACAACTGCAATTTCATGCAAATCTTGTTCACTATCTTAATATTGCACGTTCCATTCCTAAAACATCCTTCAGTGCACCGAAGCGACTTTTTTGGGGATGCATAGATGGTATATGCATTACTCAGTGGTTGCCAGCCACCACAATTGTAACCTGTCCTGTCCTGTCCTGTTCAGTCTGCTACCAATTACAGAGGCTTACATCAGGGCATATAGCAGTAGTTCCCCTATCTCACTGAAAGGAGGGCCCGCAAATTTGGATATATTTTCAAATTGGTAGAGTGATGTATCCATCATTTGACCTTGATGTAAGCCTTTATACTTGGTAAAATGACAAACAGCCATGGTTTGAACAGCTGTTGGCAGTGACAGATGTATCTTGTTGATACAGAATGACACTTCGTTAATCACAAACTAACTCTGTTCCAATGAAAAAAAAATCAGTGGGATTCAAATGTTTGAACATTGATCTTGAGGACCATGATATCTTGCTATCTTGGCATGTAGTCATAATTGCAATGCCCCTTGTCTGGTGTTAATTTGTTGAGAATTTAATCTACTTTGCATTCTTCATCAGTCTATAGGTGCTGTTAATACTATTATAAGGAGACCTAGTGATGGCAAGCTGGTTGGTTATAATACAGATTGTGAGGCTTCTATAACTGCCATTGAGGATGCTCTTAAAGGTACTGAGGCTGACATTACCATTTCTCCTTTTGAAATTACATGTGCAATTATCCAATTTAAGTTGTTGCATTTAGCAAGAATGTACCATATCATGCAAATTTTCTTTAAATGAACAAGACCTTGTCTTTTGGGAAGTACAAGGTCTCAAAAAATGAAGTGCTCCAATCACAAAATAATTAAGAAATAACCCAATAAACAAGACAATAATTTGCTTGGTTTGACGACATCGAAGCTAATCCTTAGATCATTCCACTCTTACCATGTTTTTCTACCAGTGCTGGAGCCATCTATCAGTTCCCAGTCCTCTGCTTATTATACTATCCTCTCACTTTCAACTCTCAGCAGCATGCATAGCATGTGAAATTCAAGCAGTTAGTGTAATTAGTCTGTCTCTCTTGTGTGTCTCAGTTAATATGCTAGCAATCCATTTGGAGAGTCTTACGCCTCATTTTGTTGTTAGACAAAAAATACGAATCCTTATGTCCCAAATAAAAATTGGAGATGAAGTCTAAAATACGTAAAGCTAGTTATACTAAGAATTTGATGTGTTTCAGAATATTTTCACCCTCTAGAATGATTTTTAGGTAAACGTTCCACAGGTTGGTCGCTACCACAAGATAGTAGCAGCCAGAATTTTCGAGCTACAAAATGGCTTCCAGTTACCTAGTCAATTCCATTCCTTGTGGATTTTGATTAGGCACAAGTTGTTGCTCAAAATCGCTCACTGTAGCTTAAAATGTTGCTTTAATGACCTCTCTGAAGATTTTACTGAGTTAATTGGTGAATGAAAGTTAGTGTTTGTTAAAAGAAGAGGTGTAAAAATCACCCTGCTACTCACTATTATAAAATCAACAATGACTGACATGAGACATCTTTTCGAAGAGATATTAATGCTTGCTCATTTTGGAACTTCGCTGTAGGGGGATGCAATAATGGGGACGCATTTCTCCCCTCTCCACTCACTGGGATATTGTTTGTGCTAGTTGGCGCTGGAGGTGCAGGAAGAGCACTGGCATTTGGTGCTAAAAGCAGGGGAGCACGGGTTGTCATTTTTGACATTGATTTTGGTATGGATACTCGAAGCTCTATTGAGAATGAAATTGGAATTCTCTCTTATATTCTTACCTTTAAGTCATATTATGATATAAGGCTTAAGCTCCTCCACGGTATGGATTTCTCTAGTTCATTGAGTTGCCAATCATTGGCACGAAGCAAACAGTAGAATTAACTAATTAGTCATATGAGGCAACTACTTGTTAATACCTTGATGCATCATGCCATGGTTGATGACCTGATGAACTAGAGAAATCCATACCATGGAGGAGCTCCATTCTGACTCTTAATCTTGTGTATTGTAAAGATAGAGCAAAGTCTCTTGCCGATGCCGTGTCAGGTCAAGCTCGGCCTTATGAAGATTTAGTTAATTTCAGGCCCGAGAAAGGTACAATCCTCGCAAATGCAACACCTTTAGGAATGCATCCAAATATGGATCGGATTCCCGTGGCTGAGGTTTCTCCAATACTTTCATCCTTCTAAATCAATATTCCAATTTTGATTTCATGATAAAAACCATATATGTGCTTTCCTTTTTAGGCAACCTTGTGTGATTGCAAGCTCGTCTTTGATGCTGTGTACACACCTAGGAAAACCACTCTTCTAAAAGCAGCTGAGGCTGCTGGAGCCATCATTGTCAGTGGAGTTGAAATGTTTCTGCGGCAGGCAATTGACCAATTTAATCTTTTCACTGGCAACAAAGGTACATTCATTATTCTTACATCAATTTCTGAATATATCTCTGGCATGGTTGAAAGATTGGGTCTGTAATATAAAGAAGCAGATCTTTGGATAACTTCATACCAGTTTGACTGCCCTGGGATTATAACTTGAACTTGCATGTAGGACTGGAGTTAAACCGTTTCAACTTTCTAGATACTCCTGCAGACCATGTAAATTCTCCAATGCGACAAATTTGAGGGCGGGTCTGATAGTTAAGATGTCATTTTAGTCATTATATACGGTTTTCCTATCTTAATTTCCAATACTTCATATTTGTTTTTTCTGGTTTTTCTTTTTCATTTCCTATCTTATTTTTGTTTTCTTTTTTGCCTCCAACAAAGAGAACCTAACAACAACACCCCCCCCCCCCAAAAAAAATAATAATAATAATAATTTGCAATGTTGTGGTGGTGTATTGGTTCTTTTTTCAAAGGGAAGGGACAAAAGGATACACTTGTTTTGGTTCTTTGCGGGTTTTCTCTTGTATCTAGATCCCCCATTATAACATGGGGATTTTATAGCTTTTTTGTCAAGGCTCGAGAGCTCATTGTATAGTCTGTGATTAGGTTTGAGAGGTTTCAGAAGGCAGCCATCATCATTTTGCTCATTTTAGCACTTGGGCAGAGTATGTACCTTGTAGTCTTAACTAAATCGTGTTAATGGTTACAAATTTACAATAAATAACATCATTTGAAGAATTCATCCAAGAAGCAGTTTCTAATTTTTTTTTCAAGCATATTACTTCCACTTCGACCTTCTTCCCTTGTCCATAAAGATCCACAAAATTTGCCGTAAACATTGATAACTTTAGTTTTCATAGTGAACATGCATTCTCCACCACTTGAGTAAATCCATTCAGAATTCCTTTGTTCTTTTTTGCTTGATTAACAGTGTAAAGCAAGCTTCATGGTCATGTATTACGGGAACACATGTTTGTCTGTATGACGGTTCTGATTGGATTTGTCTGACTTAAGTTTTTTTTTGTTATGTATGCAAAGATAGAAATAAAATGACCACAATTTTAGGTATTCACTTAATATTGTTAGGTATAGGCACTTTTCTTGTATTGGGGAGAGGGAGATGTAAGAAAAATTACTAACTTGACTCTTAGCTTTAGTATTTTTTTTTGGTTTCAAAAAAAGGTCTATTTAACAAGAAAAATAAGTAAAGTAGACCATATGACAAATGTTTTACATGTAAAAATTCAACTGTTTGACAAAAGACTTGGTTTGAGGTAGATGTTGCACAAGCATCCCATTAATGTGGTGTTATCTTTTGGCCATTCTCTGATAATTTGCATTGGTTGCATTGTTTTGCAGCACCGGAAGAGTTCATGCGGGAGATCGTTTTAGCAAAGTTCTAATTTATGGTAAAACGATGTATCATTTATGACTCTTTTTAATCAATTAATCGATTGAAACCACACAAATTAATTTGAGAAGACAATGAATTCAATCCTGATATGGTCTCTGTGTTTGGTGCAAGTTGTTCTAAATGACTGCAAAAAGGCAGTTTTTAGCTCAATAGTGATGATATGTTGAGTTAAAAAAGTTGATTGCCTCATGGGAAGGAAAATCCTTACAGGCTGTTCCGTGGGAAGGCAAAGAGGGTGGATGAAAAAGTGGGAGAGAAAAATGGGATGGAAAGGAAACTTCTCCTTTGTTTGGTTTAGGAGGAAAATAGGGTGGAAAGGAAAGTGGGAAGGAATCCTTATGCGACCACCCCGGGGGAATTTTTCACTCCAAATATGTGAAGAATGGGGAGAAACACACTGGAAGTGGGGCCATTAAAGTTTATCTACCTTTTTATCCTTTGTATTATGGTTATTCCTCTCAGCTGCCCACTAGCGTTCAGGGAAAAATGAATTTATGAACAACTTATATTTAATTCCCTCAATATTCCATCCATCCATCCTTCAAAACAAAAATAAGGGATACTATATTTATTTTCTGTGAAGAAGGAAAAAACAATTATTTTAACTTTTTTGTAAAGAGGAAAAAATCTCTAACCTTAATTTTTTAGAGTTTAATTGGAAAATTTTACAACAAGTAAACTATCAGAGACTGAGATCAGATCGGTTGGAGGTACACCGATATTTAAGTCAGTAAATGTTTTAGTAATAAACATATTGAATAATAGGGAAGAAGTGTATGCTTTTGACTCAAACAGTCAACTCGTATTTATACTATCATATAATGTGTCATTTTCTAGAAAAAAATATTCATTACATCGATGATATTACATCAGTATTATCACGTGGTATTGCCAACTAATAATGTATAAACAAATACGAAAACGGACTCCACACAAGCAAATACCTATCTGTTCATGTAAGTCAATAATTACCCACTTTTTTGTTTCATGTAAACTAATAACTACCCAAGTGGGGCTCACTTTGCCCATAGAGAGTCAAACTTACTCTCTACTCTATTTTTTTTTTTTTGTAAAAAAAAAGATATATTTGTCTTTTCATTTAAGAAATTTAGGAAAAAACATAAAATGATAAGAATAAAGAGTTTTATTGGAGTAGTGAGTACAAATTTACTCAATTGTAACTTTGGACTAAATATTTATATCATAAAGTAGCTTACAATTCAAATCTCAAAAGATAAATAAAATGACTTTTGCTATTTGCGATTGAGATCGCTTTAAATTTTACTTTAAAGTTAATCTAACGACTAATATTAACACCTTAAATTTAATAGAAAAAATAGGTCTTAAGGGTGTGTTTGGTGTAACTTTTTAAAAGTACTTTTAAAAATTATTTATTATAAATACTTTCAAAAAAATAGTATTTGAAACCGCTCCACCACTACTTTTACCTCCATCGCCGCCATTGTCACCATCACCACCACCACTGTTGCCGTCGCCACCACCACCATCATTGCCACCTCTGTCACCACCACTGTCATTGTCGTCGTCACTATCACCATCATCATCACCATCACCACCACCGCCATCATCGCCGTCGCCATCGCGGCCACCCCCCCGGACACTGCCATCGCCGTCACAGCCACCACTACCGTCGCAGCCGCCACCACCCTCTATCGCCACCACCACCACCACCATCGTCGTTGTCCTCACTGCGACCATCACCGCCACGGTCATTACCACGCACCACAACCATCACCATCTTTTACCACTACCTCTCACCCCCAACTACAAATTGATACTTAAATTCTTTTATCTTTTATCTATATTTATGATTTAATTTTGAATATGAATACAAATATATTTATTATTTACTATTTTTTATTAATCTGTGCCTTCAGGCACAGACAATAACTAGTGCTCTATAAAATAGAGAGCATAGTTAGAGATGGTTTAATACATAACAAAACCTAAAAGCAAAATAACCAAACTCCAAAGTACAACAACCCCAATGTAGCCAATATTTACACATAATATCAATTGACTACTGAAAAAAATCCAAAAATCAAATCAATATAATAAAACAAATAATCACAACAAACCAACCTCAAAAATATGTGTATCTATATGACCAAACTCTAAGCAACCATCATTGTAACAAACTCTAAAGCCAAAAATAAAAATATTAGCGGCAAAATTTCCATCAAAATAATAAAAATACAAAAACTAAAATCAAAGAAATACACATCTACCGATACAATTGAGGTTGAAATTCAATCTATATGTATATGCATATGAACTAAACCATTAAAATCTATAAAAGTACTTCAATGCAATAAACACTCAAAATCAATTACTTACAAATACAACATCTGGTACTATAATAAAATTGCAAATCCTAGCTACATAAAAATACATATGAACAAAACCGTTTACAACAACCAAAATCAAATTTGTACAATACAAACCAAGAACTAAAAACATATAAACCAAAATTAGTGTTAGAAGCATATGTAAATCTCATTGGCCGACCATCAATGCTGTGCTTTTCCTGAAGAACACGAACAAATATCGAAGGATCCGCAAAGACCACAACTGCCAGAGTGTTTATATGTCCCATGCCTTCAAAAAGGATACTAATTTTGTCAATGGTCGGAATCTCTAATGCTTCAAATTTGGAACGAAAGTTGTGTGTATGGAGAGAGAGAGAGAGAGAGAGAGAGAGAGAGAGAGAGAGAGAGAGAGAGAGAGCAGGCTGTTGATTTCACACACAGTGGGAACAAAAAAACGACAAGTGAAATAAATTTTTGTTGGTTAAAACCCTATAGATAATGGAATAGGAGAGACAAACGAGAACATGGAATATGAAGCATTCAGATTCATTTGTTAATTGATGATGTATTCATTATAAATTGAATATCTTTTACGATGAGTTTCGAAATGAATGGGTACTATAATGAATGACATGAGTAAATAAAAAGTCCCTAACTAATGTAAGCACGACAGATTGAATAGCTGACATTCTAATTTAGATTGTGATGGACATTGTAGTATTTATCAATTTTATTAAAGGTAATATAAACATTCAAAATTTTTTCAATTTAACATTCTTTTAAGTGTAGTATAATATGGATAGTACGTGTAGATACATACAAACATATAATTATATTTTTATTAAAATATGTGTGAATTAATGTAAACATTTTTAATCGTAAAACCAAAAAAAAAATAAAAAGACAAATCCCGAGATGGACCTGTGTTCAACAGTTAGGTTGAGGGCAATTTAAATAACTGGATTCAAATACAACAAACTTTGGAGGAAATCGAATTGGATCACAAAAATCCGATAGTATAATCAAAACTTGAATTTTTTTTTTTTTTTATCCAAAATCCAATAACCAACTATTATTTTTAGTTGAGTTTTAGTTGACCCGCGAAATCACGGTTCCCACCCTACAATTTAAGTATTTTCGCTGCCCCTCTTTCCCTTTCGCTCGCCAAATTTCTCTCTTCTCTCTCTGTGCTCTCCGTCTCTCTCTTCACCCCAACTAGTAAGTTCTCTCTCTAGCTCTTTTCGCTGCTTCTTCTTTTCTTTCTGTTTCTTCAATTCAAACATGGCACGTGGGGTCGCATTTTGATTTGTGCGTTGCTGCTCTGTTTTTTTTTTTTTTTGAATTTTTTAAACCTATGGCTTAGGTGTATAATTCATGTTTGGGTTTTTATATACGCTTTGAATTTTGAGTCTTTGTGTTCTTAATTTCTTTAACAATGCGTTTGGGAGCCTGGAATTCGAGCTTTGGAAATGAATTTTGGGGAGGGGCTTAAATTCGTTGAAATCTTGGACTGATTTTTGTCAACTCCAATCTCAAGACCTCACTTCCATTCCATTCCGCCAAACGCAGCGTAGCTGTTTGAAGTAGAGGGTTTTGAGTATTTTGAGTAGCGGGTCCTGATATTGTGTCTTTGACTGTTAGAAAAATTAGGGTTTCTGTCTATTGAGTGATTTATTTTCCTCATTTCCTTTTTCATTATTTGTTTGGTTGTTGAGAAAGTGGAGGAAAATGGAAGATATTAAGTTTCGGAATTACACACTTAAGTGTGTTGTTATTTATTATAATAAAAACCGAAGCTGAAGTTGCTATGTGATTTTATTTTCTTCGATTTCTTTTGTATTTTTAGTTTGGCAGCTGAGAAAATGGAGGAAAATGAAAGATATTTTGGAATCACACGCTTAAGTGTGTTGTTATTTCTTATAATAAAAACCTAAGCTGAAGTTGCAATTTTTTTTATTCCTTCATGTTCTTGGAAAATAAACAGGGTTTCTTCTTTGTGGAGTATTTTTTTGTTTCATTATAGTTTGAGTTGAGAGGTTCGTATTGACAATTTTTTCGATTTAGGAAAATAAAAGAAGAAATTAATTATGGGATACATTTGTTATTATGTTTAAGAATATGGAAAGCTGTGCCAAGACAAGGCAGATTTAGTGTTCAAATATTTTTCAACCTATAGGAGATTTTGAATTTGTAATTTTTGTTTCTTTTACTTTACTTCATCGTCTCGCTGAATGAAAGGATTCCAATTTTTCTGAACTGATTTTTTTTTCTTGTTTTACTAGAGTTTGAGCTATGATAAATTCAGATTGAAAATAGTTCGACTTGTTTTGGTTTTTCTAGACGTTCACCAAATCTAAAGAGCCTCGCAATGCTATAGTTCTTTTTGCTTTCTGACAACTTCTAAGGATCCAAATGAAAATGAGCAATTTCATTTTCCTATGTTTTTTGCTTTTCTGAGCACATGAGTGGGGTCTGAATGTTTTGGCTTGATATTTATGGCGGTCTGTTGCTTTTGTTGTTTTACATATGTTGAGTTTGCTAATACAAATTGATTGTAGTTTCTGATATGGTCTTTCAAGCTTTTAGGTTGATCCCTATCACATGACGTCGAAACATTACATATTATATTCATGTTCATACTTATTTACAAGTTTTTCCCATTGTGCTACCATGGCTTCCGTTGAACTATATCTAGTTGTATATCTGTGTACGACAAGTAAAATATGCAAACTCATGTCATCTCTGCCTTCAAAGGTGTTAGGAGATACAATACAACTCAGTAGAAAATCCAAAACAATCCATGCAAGCTTGCCGTTCTACAAATTAATTTTTATGGCACATAGGGAGAGTTTTTATTTTGGTTTGGGGGAGTTAAGGATTATTTCCTCTGTTATCAATTAAAAATCTGCCAATACATACGTATATGTTTGCTTATAATGGGTTATTTGGTGATTTCTTGTGGCAGATTGTGAATTCTAGATTTCAGCTTCTACTGTCTATGGGGTTTGTGATCAGATTGCTTATGCAATCAAGGCTTCTTGAAAGTTTCTAATCTTGAAGGGAAATAGCACTGAGTCCAATTTTTGTTATGGTTCTTCCTGGCAGCTTTTGATGATTTCAGGTGGTAATTAAATTGGACGCGAAGTTGCTTTCCCTCTTTTGCTTTATGTTAATTTCAGGGATAATTTTGTATTTTTTTTTTTTTTTCTGGTTGAATTTTTTGGTTATATGTTTGTGGTTGATGAGCCTTGAATTGGTGAATAATTTTGACGGAAATATGCTAGGTGGAATGGATGCAGAGTGCAATATTTTGATGACTGGTGGTCTCTTTAAGGAAGAGGGGAGCTGTCTGTTCATTTAGTTGGGTTTTATTCTTGTGTTGGGCATGAAGAAGAAGAGTCCCCTTTTTTGATCATGTACCATGCCTGAAAAGCCTGAGTACTTATTTTTGTGTTGTTAACCATGGAGTGCAACAGAGATGAGGCCGTCAGGGCCAAGGAAATTGCTGAGAAAAAGATGCAAAACAACGATTTTGAAGGGGCTTGGAAGATAGCACTGAAGGCCCAACAACTATTCCCTGAACTTGAGAACATATCCCAGCTGCTAGCCGTATGCAGTGTTCACTGTTCAGCTCAAAACAAGATATGTGGTTCTGAAAGAAACTGGTATGGAATCCTTCAAGTGGAAAGACTGGCTGATGAAGCTACCATCAAGAAGCAATACCGAAAACTCGCACTCATACTCCATCCTGACAAGAACAAGTTTCCTGGTGCAGAAGCTGCTTTTAAGCTGATTGGGGAAGCAAATATGGTGCTTTCAGACCAAGGAAAACGAACTTTATATGACAGTAAGTGTAGGGTTTCAGTGAGAACTGCAGTAACAAGGCCGCCACCTCATCAGGTAAATCGGAATCCATTTGTCGGGAAACCATATGGGGTCCAGCACAATATTCCAAATGCTCCTAATTCTCAATTTGGGGGCTTGAATCAGCATCAAGCAACACAACCAGATTCATCCAATGGTGGACAAACTTTCTGGACATGTTGCCCTTTTTGTAATGTCAAGTACCAGTACTACAGGGATTTTGTTAACAGAGCTTTGCGTTGTTCAAAATGCCAAAAACCATTCATTGCCTATGATTTAGGTGCTCAGGGTGTATCCACCGGATCCAACTGGGGCCAGCCTGGAGCTCAAGGTGTGCCTCCTGTATCCAACCGGAGCCAGCCTGCAGTTTCTCAGCAGAAACAGGTTCCAAATCAGGGGCCTTCTAAAGTGGCCTTTCGGGGAAATCTTAGCAGTAGAGCAGTGGCATCAGAACCATCAAAGGTTGATGCAAAAGCCAGGGAATCAGGAACTTCAAGAAGCAGAAGCAGTAAAAGAGGGAGGAACTTCGTAGTGGAGTCCAGTGAAAGTTGTGAGACTGCCAGTAGTTCCGACTCAGAAGGTGTGAATATGCAAGATAATGGTGGCAATTTTACTGCTCAACAGAACATTCCTGAATTCAATGGTGTACATCATCCTAGAAGATCATCTCGACAAAGGCAGCATGTTTCTTACGATGAAAGTGCAAGTGATGGTGACGACTTTGTGAGCCCTCCAAAAAGGTCTAGGGGTAGCAAATTATATAGTCGTGCTGAAGAGGAGCAAAAAGAAGTTTTGAAAGATAAACCTAAAAGTGGTACTTCAACTGGTTTTATTGCTACTGCAGACATGGATAAGGGAAGAGTCAGACGAAAAGGAAGTGCCCTTCCAGGAGGAAGCTTTCAGGACAGTAGTAGTGGTAAGTGTCAGGCCATCGTAGAAGAGGATGTTACATGGGATCAAGTTGCTAAGACATCCAAAGTCATGGATGATACAGAATCTGATCCAACTTATGGTTGTTCTTCAGATCCAGAGTTTTATGACTGTCCTGATCCTGAATTCAGTGACTTTGATAAGGATAAAGAAGAAAACTGTTTTGCTGCTAATCAAATATGGGCTTGCTATGATACAGTTGATGGCATGCCAAGATTCTATGCTCATGTCAAGAAGGTTTTCACACCTGGATTTAAGGTGCAGATCACTTGGCTGGAGGCTGACCCAGAGGACCAGCACCAGATTGATTGGGTAAATGTGGGCTTACCTGTGGCTTGTGGCAAATTTAAACGTGGGAGCTCTGAAGAAACTTCGGATCGACTTACATTTTCTCATCAGGTTCACTGTGAAAAAGTTGCAGGTAGATGCTCTTATGTGATATATCCCAGGAAGGGGGAAACTTGGGCCCTCTTCAAGGACTGGGATATCAGATGGAGCTCTGACCCTGAAAGTCATAAGCAGTACAAATTTGAAACTGTGGAAGTTGTCTCAGATTTTGTTGAGAATTCTGGCATAAAGGTTGCTTACTTGGATAAAGTGAAGGGGTTCATCAGCCTGTTCCAGCAAACAACCCGGGAAGGGATTGTCTCATTTCTGATACCACCCCGTGAACTATTTAGGTTTTCCCACCGAATTCCCTCGTTTAAAATGACTGGCAGGGAAAGAGAAGGTGTTCCAAAAGGATCTTTTGAACTTGATCCTGCTTCCCTATCTCCTGATCTTAACGAGTTTTGTCGTGCTGAAGAGATGGAAATGGAGACTGGAAGCATGGATGTGAAGGTCCTTGGTTCATGTCCTAAATCTCCCAAACAAAAATTGAAATCCATGGTGGGTTCTGAGAATACAAACACGCCGAAGAAGTGTGTGGACGTTGAACTGAAGAAGGGTTTTGAAAGGGAGGCATCTAAACTAAGAAGATCTCCCAAGGAATTAAACTGCACAGGTAAGATGCACAATCAAGTGACTGCTAGTCAATTCTCGACTGGGGAGGAGACCTCCAGGCATTTAAATAATATAAAAGATAAAAGTCATGTTGACTTTGTTCCATCTACAGGAGTTGCTTCATCGGATCAGGGTGATGACGAAATGCCCATAGATGAGACAAGTCCCTATAATTTTATGAAGAACTCTAGCATTCCTCCATCTTTTTCTACTGGTCTCAAAGTTTCAGAAGAAGTGTTTCACAACTTCATTGGCAACAAATCTGTGGAGAAGTTTGAAATTGGTCAGATATGGGCACTGTACAGTAGTAAGGAAGAGGGGTTGCCCAAGGAATATGCTCAAATTAAGAAGATTGAAGATTCGCCATTCAAATTGCGCGTAGCTCTGCTTGAGCCATTCATTGTGCCTAGAAATACAGTGCAGCCTCTTTGTTGCGGGATGTTCAAAGTCCAAAATGCAAAAACTAAACTATTACTGCCCAGTTCCTTCTCGCATATGTTGAAAGCAGAATCTATTGATAGAAACAGTTATGAAATCCATCCCAGGGAAGGAGAGATTTGGGCGCTCTACACCAATTGGAATGCTGAGTTGTCATGTTCTGACCTGGAGAATTGTGAATATGATATAGTAGAAGTTCTTGATGGTAATAAGCACTGCCCAAAAGTTTCATCGTTAGTACGTGTGAATGGTTTCAAGTCGGTATTTAAGGCTCCAAGAAGTCTGCAATCAAGTACAGGTATAATGGAGATACCACGGGGTGAGTTAGCCAGGTTCTCTCATCAGATTCCTGCTTTTCAGCTCACGGGAGAGATAGATGGCTACCTGAGAGGCTGCTGGGAGCTTGATCATGCATCAGTACCAGGTAATCTGTTTTGTGTAAATTGAAGAAGCAGGACGGTAAGACCTAGGATCCAGCTCCTTTGATTAGGCGTTTCATGTGAATATGTGGGATCAAATTAGGAGAAACTATGAATTATGATTTATTTTACTTCTCTTTTGGTTATTTGATGGAATCAAACATTTCCTATAGGGATTTTCATTTTCTGGCAGATATTGTGGATAGAACTTTGATAATTTGATTTCTTATTGTTCTGTTTTATGTTCTTTCCTAGTTTTTGGTTTTTAAAGTCGAGCATTCATTTAGCTTTGGTTTGTTAGAGGTTGAAAGGTGGTCTGGCTGGCATCTTGGCAAACTTGAAATACAGGGGTACCTATTCTTTGCATTGGAAGTAGCTGTCTGCAACTTCTTTTTTGGCAATATATCCGGCCTTTTCATCTTCAAATCAAGTGTGGTATCTGCAAGTAAACATGTAAATCTCGTTTATTTATTGGTTGCATTTCCCTGGAATTTGGTTTAACGTGAACAAGCATTCCTGGTAAATGTGATTTCTTTTGAGCGTGCTGGCTCTGAAAGATGGGGATTTAGAAAATACTTGCTTTAGCAAACCTTTTGCTGGACATGTCAACATTTCCATTCTATGAATAGCTTAATACGAGCTGTGTGGCATTGGTAAAACCTTTTTCTCCCTTTCTTTTGTATTCTCTGTGTGTGCGAGTATAGGTGGTGTTTTTTTTTTGTTGGGGTTTTTTTCTTGGGTTGGGTGGGGGGTGGGGTTTGGAGGACGGTGTTCAGGTGTATGTACGGCGTTGTCTGCACGCCATACATTTTTGGCATGAGTTGTCTGTGTCATTTTGGTTTTCCATTTTCAGAGTTGCATTCTCTTCATGCATGCCTTGACTTGAACGCCGCTTGTTATATATTCCGAAGTCATTGCATATGGCCATACCATACCATCTACAATGTCCTTTTTCAACACACCCCCTCAATTGAATGCCGACTTCTCCTTGAGGGTTATTAGAATTAATATTCAAGGTTGTAACGTGTATTGATCCATGAGATGGGGGGCCCTTTCTTAATTACTATTGTTTTCTCTTTGGGGGTTTAATTGCGGATATTCCAAGATGTACAAAACAAATGTACACAATGTTCACAAAGGATTGAAATTATTTTTTGAATCACAATTTTGAAATTTAAAACTTGGAAATAGTTGGAAAAAAAGAAGTAATTTATGCTATGGTTCAGACATTATGCAAAGGTAATTTATGCCAACAAATTAAGAGTTGTCAAAGTTGGAAAGCTAAGGAAAATAGTTAGGATATCATTATTTTTGCCTAGTTTATAAGCAAAAGCATATATGTATCTTGATATACAAGCAATAGGCATATTTTTGTGTGTATAAAACAGTTCTTTTTCTTTGGTATAATTGTAGTTATTGTTGTAAATTCTTTCACTGCTTTCGTTTTGATAATTTCTGCGAATGGATGGACGATTGAAAAGCCCAATAAATCCAAGCGGATCAAGCACTTTTTTCGAAATATTCATACAGAGCTTTGACTTTGTTGATGACAAAGTAGAGACCTGGAAAATGAATTTTCTTG